GATCAACAGTAAGGATTTTGAGTAGTGAAGTTCAACCCATCTGAAGAGCCAAGTGCATCCTAACCTGTACAAATGTAGTGACTTGCTTTTCAAACTCAAACAAAGGCCAGCCATCACTGCTCTCCCCATCTCTAAACTCACTCACCTTATTATTGGCCAGGTAGATGTACTGAAGCAATGGCAGGGACTCAAAGGCTTCATCCGGGAGACCTTTAAAAGGGGATAGAAAGAGGCCAGGTTTGGGGGAATCCTTGAAACACGTCAATTCCTCCTCTCTGTATGCACCCTGGAGGACTCCTACCCCCATTCCCAAAATATTTTATGCCCAACAAGTATCCAGACTTGACTTCCTTTCTACTGCTGGTCAAGATACAGCCAGCTCTGAAAAGGAACCAGAGTGCTGATTAACAGCTCTTACATAATGTGCAACATCCTCAGAGGTTGACCTCACAACCTCTGAGGATGCCTGCTATAATGTGAGTGAAACGTCAGGAGAGAATGCTTCTGGAACATCAACATAACTCACAGCAACCCAGTGAATCCAGCCATGAAAGCCTTCAACAATACAGCTGTTACATAATGTGAAACAGCTAATTTGGAAAAAGCAAAATGTTTTGGCTCAAGAAATGTCAGCCCTTCATGCCATTATTTATTTATTTATTTCCGGTGTTTCTATCCCGTTCCTTCTCAACCCCCGAAGGGGGACTCAGGACGGCTTACATTTGGCAGCAATTCGATGCCACTACATATAACAAAGCAATATAATAACAATTAAAACAATAAGTAAAACATTCATTAAAATAGTAAAAAGCAGTATTAATAACCGTATCACCATTCCAGTCAATTCCATATCCAATTCCATGTCCAAAGTCCAAAAGCCTGATCCCAGAACCACAACTTCAATTTCTTCCTAAATGACAGGAGGAATGGAGCCGATCTTACCTCAGTGGAAAGCGAGTTCCACAGGCGGGGGGCCACAGCTAAGAAGGCCCTGTCTCTTGTCCCGGGCTGACGTATTTGTGACGCTGGCAGAAGCGAGAGCAGGGCCTCCCCAGATGATCTTAAACTGCGAGGCGGGATGTAAAGGCTGGTTTTCCTTTTCCTAAATCAGGGGTCCTCAAACTTTTTAAACAGAGGGCCAGGTCACAGTCCCTCAAATTGTTGGGGACCCGGATTATAATTTGAAAAAAACATGAATGAATTCCTATTAACACTGCGCATATCTTGTTTGTAGTGCAAAAAACACTTAAAAATAATACAATAATTAAAATGAAAAACAATTTTAACAAATATAGGCTTGTTAGTATTTCAATGGGAAGTGTGGGCCTGCTTTTGGCTGATGAGATAGGATTGTTGTTGTTATTGTTATTGTGTGCTTTCAAGTCATTTCAGACTTAGGTTGATCCTGAGCGAGGGCCGAGAAATGAACTTGGAGGGCCGTATTCAGCCCCCGGGCCTTAGTTTGAGGATCCCTGCTCTAAACTATTGTGTGTATTGTCTGAGGAAGGAGACCTCCAAGATGGCAAGATGGCAAAAAAAACCCTGATCCCTGCCCCTGCCTTCTGCTCACCCTCAGAGGTGATGTGATTGTTGTGTAGATTGAGCGTTTTCAGTCTGGCCAGTCGGGATAGTTCATTGTAGGACAGCTCTTGCAACAGGTTATTCTGCGGAAGGAAAACCAGGAAGGGAAGCAGTTAACATGAGCACCAGTCGGTATGGAAGTAATCCAAATGCTGGCCACCTGATCTGATCTTCTGTATTTCCAATACACCCAGATATTGTAGCCAAAATGACACCGGGGAGGGGGAGGGGAGAGTTTCTAACAGCTGTAGCCCCCCGTAACTTAACTTTTCAGAGATTTTCTCTCACATCAAGCAAGGCTGGCACATCGTTGACAGCACCTCACCTGTAGTGAGAGATGCTGGATGCCAGCTGAGATATTACTGGGGAAAATGTGGAGATCAAGTCCGCCACAATCGACCGTTTCCTCTGTTGGACAGGTGCATTTGGATGGGCAGCCAGACACATTCTGGGCAGGGGTGACCCTGGTAGGCCTGGTAGTTGCCAGAAGCAGCTCATCTTCCTCTTGGTCTTTCAGAAGGAAGCTGGGAGACACACTGGCCAGCAAGAGTAGGAGAAAACCGCCACTGCACAGCTGCTGTAGAGGGGAGGGAGGAAAGGAGGGAAAGAGAAGTTGAGTTTGGTCAATAAGGGCTCTATAGAAGCCCTTCTCCATCACACGTGTTGCTCTCAGTGCTTCCCCTGTTTGAACAGGCTGGGTAGGGGAGGCATGGCGGAAGCAGCCCCTTCCCCTCTCCTCACAAAGCCTGCTCCTCTGGGGATAGAGACAGAGCCCCTTCACAGGACTGAAATGCCTCACTGCCTGCCAGGGTGAAGGGAGCTGAAAAGCACAAGGGGGGCTTGTCTCTTCCACGGGAGTACCAAGCAAAGGAAGACTTTAGTTTGGGGAAACCTCAGAAAACAGAGGGCAGCCTGTGCACTTACGTTTGCAGTGCGCACACAGAGGCGCGACTGCCCTCGTAAAGCGTTGCTGGCTAATTGAGCCAGAGTTGCATGTCGGTTCAGAAATGGACCATGCAAGACCACCATTCCTCAGCCTTGCCACTTTTGCATAAACAGAGGGAAAATGCAAAAAATAAAACAAAACTTGGAAGCCTCACAAGGTTGAGCTTCAGCCAGAGAAGCAACAAGGATGCGACACTCAGTTTGCAAGGGGAGGAAGGGGTAGATAGTGGATGGATAGATTATTATTATTATTATTATTATTATTATTATTATTATTATTATTATTATTGGTCATGTCAGGAGCGACTTGAGAAACTGCAAGTCGCTTCTGGTGTGAGAGAATTGGCTGTCTGCAAGGATGTTGCCCAGGGGACGCCCAGATGATTTGATGTTTTTATCATCCTTGTGGGAGGCTTCTCTCATGTCCCTACATGAGGAGCTGGAACTGATAGAGGGAGCTCATCTGCCTCTCCCTAGATTTGAACGTGTGACCTGTTGGTCTTCAGTCCTGTCGGCACAGGGGTTTAACCTACTGCGCCACCGGGGTCTCTGATGGATAGATACAAGGGTTTTTTTTTTAATGGCCAGGATTTACATGGATATTTCCCACCTCTACTTCAACATGTCCCATTTTGGACTGACACAACAGGAGTTTGATTCGGGGGTGGGGGGGACCCTAGCAAACCTTTTGTATCATTACCCCAATACCCCCATGCATATGGGATATATTGAGCATGGTGATCAGATCATGATATGAATAAACGTAACAGTTTAAATAATGTACCAGTAAGGCCTTCTCGGGGACCATCATGAGAATTTGGGGGGGGGGCGTAAAGCCCCTCAAGCCACCCCCCCCCCCGAGGCTACATTCCTGCTCCAACAGTCCCATTTAGGACTGACACAACAGGGAAGATAGATATTGTCAATCAGCACTCTTTCCTGATGCACTCGATATGCGGTGTTCACCAGGCCTGTAGCGAGGGGGGGGGGGTGTTAGGGGTTGTTTCAGATTTTTTTAAAAAACCTGGTTTACTCATTAATTTTAACTGGTTAACCAAACTGTAAGCACTATCTCAAGCAAATATTGACAATTTATTCACACTGTCATTACTTGCAGCAATAGCCGATGTAGTGAAGCAACCAAGTTGGGGTGTGTGTGTGTTGAATGCTCTCATTAAGGAGGCCAGACTTGGTGGAGGTGGTTGACAGGGGCGGAGCTGCAGGCTATTGAAGGCTGCTCTGCCCCCTGCTGTGCTCTTTGCTTCAGCGTGAGCTAGGAGGCAGGTTTCAACACCCCCAGGGGCGGCTCACCTATTATGCAGAGTAAGCATTTGCAGTATAGTTGATTTTGCCCAGGGGTGCTCTTGAGGCACTCTTGGGGGAAAATAGACCTTGACATATGCGAGTTGTAGTTACTGGGATGTATAGTTCACCTACAATCAAAGAGCATTCTGAACTACACCAATGATGGAATTGAACCAAATATGGCACACAGAACTCCCACGACGAACAGAAAATATATATCAGTGATTGGTTGGGGGGGGGGGGCAAAATACTGTTTGCTTACCGTTGAAAATTACCTAGGGCCGCCAGGTTACAGGTTGAACCCCCCCCCCGAAATTTTCACCCCCCCCCCAAAATTTCAACCCCTCCCGAAAAATTTTTTTCTGGCTACGGTCCTGGTGTTCACAACCCACTTATTTTTCAAACAATGCAAACCATCAAATATCTTCAGCAATCTTATCATCTGAGCAGGCCAGACCAGAAACCTCTGTTATGTGGGAAGGGATCTTGTGATTGCTTTTCTCAAGAACAGAACAGTATTTTACTAGCAGCCAAGAGTCCTGGATCATCCTTGCTTGGCATTCATCCTGTCCCAGAATACGACTATGCAGGAATTAGAATATATTAGCTATTTTTAAAATTGATTTAGTGAGTAATTTCATAGAATCACTTCTAACCACTTCCAGGAGTAGTTCCAAAAACATTACGGCCTCTTGGTATCTAGTAACAAAGATCAATTATGTTATCTCTCCTCCTCTGGCATTAAAAATATCAAAGGTACTTCAATCAAATTTAGGGTAGACCTACTGAAATCAGAAACCATAAACTGATTATTGTGTCATTCTGATGCCTGGGGTAATTGTGTCATGTTTGTGCACATGTACTTAGGAAACTCCATTAATTATAGTGTTTTCTTATTTATTTATTTGTTTGTTTGTTTGTTTCTTTACTGTATTTGTATGCCGCCTTTCTCAGCCAATCGGCAACTCAAGGCGGTTTCCAACAAATCAGTACATATAAAAACATAATACAGATTAAAACATTAAACAATATAAAATACCACAAAAGCAATAAAAACAACATCATTAGCATCTCATTATTATCAAGCATTGTCCAGTTCCATTGTCAAATCGTTCGATTTCCTATATTAGCTACTCTGTATTTGTAAACTCTTGCTCAAACAGCCATGTTTTAACTTGCCTCCGAAACGTTAAAAGAGGGAGGGAGCAGATCTAATTTCCCTAGGGAGGGTGTTCCATAGCCGAGGGGCCACTACTGAGAAGGCCCTCTTGTCCCCACCAAACGTACTTGAGACAAAGGCGGGACCGAGAGCAGGGCCTCTCCAGACGATCTTGGAGTCCTTGATGGTTCGTAAGGGGCAAGGAATACTTAGGCAAGGAATACTCAGAAGTGATTTTGCCAGTTTCTTCTTCTACAGCACTTGTTCTTCATTGGCAGTCTCCCATACTTTTCCTAACCAGCTGTGATCTACTTTAGCTTCCAAGATAAGATGAGATCTCAGGCCCCTTCCACACAGCTGAATAAAACCCCACACTATCTGCTTTGAACTGGGTTATATGGCAGTGTGGACTCGATAACCCAGTTCAAAGCAGACATTGTGGGATTTTCTGCCACAACATTCTAGGTTGTATGGCTGTGTAGTCTGATATTAGATCCCTCTCAGGTCATTTCTGAAGGGTTCAACAGACTATGTGGAACATTATTAAATGGCCCCAAATGAAACAAAATGCTTTGTTCTCATGTATTCAAGAGGTTCATTACATTCAAAGAGTGGTCTGGCCACTTTGCCTCTTGGGCAATGTCCTTTCCCAAGGTCTCTATTAAACTGCTCCTCAGCAACATGTGTTTGAGTCAAGTTACAAATATTCCAAACCAATGTGTGTGCTTTTGAGTTGTTTCTGAGTTAGGTTGACTTTAAAGACATATTACTGGGGAGGGGGGGTGTAGTGAATCTTACCTAGTAGGCCGGAAAAGAAGCCTGAATAACAGTGTGGCGAACTTCCATTTTGAGAGGGTATGCCAGGGAAGCAGCCATCTTGAGTGAGGCTAGATAGAAGATGGGAGGAGTTTGAGGTCTCCTGGGATTGGCTAGATCAGTTGGGAGGAGCCAAGTCTTAGGAGGGAAAACATTTGAGCTTCTGTGGAGTTGAGAACTGGGAGCTGGTGGGAGAAGAAGTGTTTTTGAAACTAGGTTTTCAGAGAGAGAGTGAGTCTGTGTCAGACAGGGGCTGATTAGCTGACAGGAAAGGTCAGGCAGCAACTTAATTTCTTGTGGGAGATAGCACAAGAGGTTAGCTCTCTAGACTGAGTTAGTTAGCAGGAAGAACTCTGGGAAGAGTAGGCTGATAACTCAGGGGACTACCTAGGATAGGTTAGTCAGAAACTCATTACTATTTCTCTGAAGTAGAGTGAGGGATTTTTGTTACTAGCAGCTAGATCAGTTTGATTAGCTCTGTATGTAACTAAGTGAAGAAACTCATTCTAGCAACCATCAAGCTGTGGAACTTTTGTAACAAGTCAAGCGTTTTATGCCTCTCTGAAGTAGTTAGTTGTCTGTTTTTATAAATAAATCTTTTTCTATTTAACTTTCAAAAAAGGTCTCTATCATTCCTCAATTTATCATTAATCCTTTGTATCTTCAACATCCTAATATTACAGAAAGATCTCTTACCCAAACAGTCATGCTGGAAGCTAGGGGAAGAACAGTGTTGACAGAAGTGGGAAATGTTTACCTCAAAAACTCATTTTAAAAATCCTAAGGCAACTTGAGTTGGTGGCAGCTTTAAACCAAAAGAGGATTAAAAGACAAGCAGCATTCACTCTATCATACACATATCTATCTACATCTCGCTACCAAATTGGAGGCACAGGGGTAGGATTTTTGAGAAAAAAGTAAATCTGTGGAGGAAGTATCATCCTGCCCAGAGATATTATCAATAAGCCTCTAGCCTCGTGTCACTGGGCGTAATATTTGATGATATATTATACAGGGATCTGTTATACTGGTGTTCAGCTGTGGGATATTATAGTATATATGTTATAGGGGGCCACCAACCTTTGTTTAGAAGTAGGTTTGCCTTTACCTTCCTCTCAGGCTGAGAGAGCGAACTTGCCCAAGATCCCCCAATGGGTTTCCATGGCTCGGCAGAAATCCGAACCCTAGTCATAGCCTTAAATGGATGTCACGGATTGTGAAAGCATAGAAACAGTCAGGCTTCATACTGCTAGACACGACTCTTCTAAGCAGAATAGAATCTGAATAGAATAAACAAGAGGCCAGAAATCTTGGCCCTGAATCCAACTTCTGTTTGCTTGTTTTAGATTCTATATTTAGAAAAAGTAAAATAATATTTGAAACTTAAGTTTCTTCCTTTCTTCCTCCTCCCTGCCCTGACATAACAGTGTATTCAGACTGGTGAATCTATTCCTGATGAAAAACAGAAATTGAGACACAAAAAAAAACACACAAAAAAACCCAACAACTTTGGTTAGTGTTTTAAAAGAGAAATAAAGATGATCAAACAACTGTGCAGCTATGGTATTTTTCTTTACATCTTGCTGCGAGAATAAAAGATAGAAGAAGCATAAAGAAAACACTGCAAATTTTTATTTTTTCCACTTTTTTTGTTTTCTTTTTCTGGGTCGATTTTTGGACATTTCCCCCCCTATCATCTTGTGTTCTAGCTTATTTCCTACTTTTCTATCTTCTTTACAATATTCCCCCACTTTCATGTAACTATAAATTATTTCAATAAAAATTAATCTAAAAAAAAGAAAACACTGCAAACTTCCATGTGGAGAATGACTTTCTGCAAATAATACAAACTGACTGTACACAGGGGCGGCTCAACCCATTACGCAAAGTAAGCATTTGCAGTATAGTTGATTTTGCCCAGGGGCGCTCTTGAGGTGCTCTTATGGGAAAATAGACCTTGACATATGCGAGTTGTAGTTACTGGGATGTATAGTTCACCTACAATCAAAGAGCATTCTGAACTCCACCAATGATGGAATTGAACCAAATATGGCACACAGGATTCCCATGACGAACAGAAAATATATATCAGTGATTGGTTGGGGGGGGGGGGCACCAAAATACTGTTTGCTTACTGTTGAAAATTACCTAGGGCCACCTCTGACTGTACACCTTCTAGAAGCAGAGGCTGTATGTTTCTGAATATCTTGAACTCAAGAAGAATCATAGCATTGAAAGAGACCTTCAAAAGTTATCCAGCTATCCCCATTCTGTCATGCAGGAACTCACAATCAGAGAGAGCCCTCTTTATAGATGGCCATCCAGCCTCTGTTTAAAAGCTTCCAAGGAAAGTGCTTCCCTCACACTCTGAAGCAGAGAGTTCCATTGTTGAATAGCTCTTATCGTTAGGAAGTTCTTCCTAATGTTCAAATGGCATCTCTTTTCCTGCAGTTGCCGCTTCGCAGCCTTTGGACCTTTATTTGTTTGGGACTTCAGCTCCCACAACTCCTGCTAAACTAGCAGGGATTTCTGGGAATTAAAGTCCAAAATACCTGGAGAACTTAAAAATTGAGAATCACTGCTGGATAGCAACTGAAAACAAGCTTGCCCTGTCCTCATTGTGACACTGAGCCCTGGCCGTTCAGGCTGCATTCATTGTACAGTGCAGTGGCAAAGGCACCCACACGCAAAGGAAAGGCATTCCCTCCCTCCCTCCTCCTTCTCCCATCCCTTTGGCTCACCATGGCCCTCTTGTCACAGAAAGAGGTCCCATCTGCCGGTCCTCTCCCTCCTGCCACCGACCTCCTTTTGCCGGAGGAGCGCAGAGGAGGGCCCTCCCCTTTCCTGCCCCAAAGGCAACCAAGACTGAGCCAATCCTTATTTATGGGAAGCAGGGAAGGGGGGCAGGCGAGAAATGTGATGTCTCCTGCGCCTTGTTTTCCTTCCCTTCAGCCTTATTGCATAAGGAAAGCTGGGGGAAGGCTGGCCCGGCACCACTCCTCAGGAGAAACTTGCTTTGCCCCCAAAGCCATGCAAAGTTTTTCCACTATCCCCCACACTTTTTAGAATAGAATAACTTTATTATCATTGTACATCATACAACAAAATGTACAAAACAAAACACCATCCTTTCACATTCGAATTGCTATTACACAACCTGATGCCACATCAGTGTGAAACTGTGGAGTTCAATATAGCCACATCTCTAGGATAAAAGTTATTGCTCATCTTATTTGTCCTTGTTTTTATCATCCTATATCAGGGCTCCTCAAACTTTTTAAACAGAGGGCCAGGTCACAGTCCCTCAAACTGTTGGAGGGCCGGATTATAATTTGGAGAAAAAAAACAGGAATGAATTCCTATGCACACTGCACATATCTTATAAACAACTAGCTGTCCCCTGCCACGTGTTGCTGTGGTCCAGTCTGTTGATCTGGAAAATAAAGTAATGAGAAAGTGTTGGTTTCTAATATATGTAATTTCTTTATGCTTGTGGGCAAACAGTATTTCTTGTTGTTTCTTTGTCAGTGTTGATGTGGAGAGTGTCTGGTTTGACCACCCTGGAACATGCAAGATATCATTGTCCCTCTTTAAGGGTCCCTTTCAAATCTATGATACTATATCTCTCAGTGTGTGAATCATATCTCTCTCTCTCTATCTATCTATCTATCTATCTATCTATCTATCTATCTATCTATCTATCTATCTATCTATGGATGGCTGGATGGCTTTTTGTCAGGAGGGCTTTGATTATGTTTTCTTGCCCTGATGAAGGGAGTTGGATTGAATGGCCTTAAGTATTTTCCATTGGTAACGGGGGATTCTGTGTGGGAAGTTTGCCCCAATTCTGTCGTTTGTGGGGTTCAGAATGTTCTTTGATTGTATGTGAACTGTGAATTCCAGTGACTACAACTCCCAAATGTCAAGGGTTATTTCCTCCAAATAACCATCTGTGTTCATATTTGGGCGTATTGAGTGCTTGTGCCAAGTTTGATCTAGATCCATCATTGTTTGAGTCCACAGTGTTCTCTGGATGTAGGGAAACTACAACTCCAAAACTCAAGGTCAGTGCCCACCAAACCCTTCCAGTATTTTCTGCTAGTCACGGAAGTCCTGTGTGCCTAGTTTGGTTCAATACCATCATTGATGGAGTTCAGAATGCTTTTTGATTGTAGGTGAACTATAAATCCCAGGAAGTACAACTCCCAAATAACAAAATCATAATTTTTTGAGTGATGGTCACTCCTTGTGTCGTGAGATGTTTGTTGCCAAATTTGGTGTGATTTCATTCATTGGTTCTTTTGTTTTTAAGGTACTCATTATGACCAGAGCATTTATATATATATATATATAGATAGATGATAGATAGATAGATAGATAGATACAATAATTAAAATGAAGAACAACATTAACAAATATAAACTAATATTATTTCAATGGGAATTGTGTGCCTGCTTTTAGCTGATGAGATAGGATTGTTGTTGCTGCTGCTGTGTGCTTTCAAGCTGTTTCAGACTTAGGTTGACCCTGAGTAAGGGCCAGGTAAATGACCCTGGAGGGCCGTATTCGGCCCCCGGGCCTTAGTTTGAGGACCCCTGCACTAGTGTGTCCTGGCACAGTTTGGAAAGCTCTGCTCTAGATCATAGAATGATGGTTTGACACCACTTGAACTCCCATGGCTTAATGCTGTGCAATCTTGGGATTTATAGGACTAGAGGGTTTTTTTTGGCAAAGAAAGCTAAAGAAACTGCATGAAATATAGATGCACCCCTAGATGCTGCACATTCAATCAACTGATTCTATTCACTCAGACCTGAATGCCCAAGAAAACACATGACTACATACTAAAGGGGACTGAGTACTCCTTTGCATGTGCAAAGTGCCCCACCATTTAGAAAGCCTTGTTGGGTTGCAGGCATGTGTCCATACAAAACATGTTTAAAACTCCTCCTTAACTAGAATCAATATATCACTGGCAATGCTTTCTTCTATCAACCAACAAAATGTGGGGCCTTCCAAGCTGTTCTAACTACAGCTTTATACTCTCCTTTGATTTATGCTTATGTCCCAAAGACCTCGGTGGGTGTCCTCTATTGTACTCCAGACTCCAGTTGCAGTCGCCAAGTGCTGAATTTTGAAATTCATTACCCAGGCAGATCTTTGCCTTTCAAAGAGAAGCTACTACGTACCAACAAAGTTTACTCCTACCCTGGGACTCAGTAGATTCAAAGTAAGGCTAGAGTTCAGTTCTCTCCTAAGCCACCAAATGTCCCATTGTGTTCCCAAGAGAAGAATTGTAGGCTTGAGACAGGACAGCGCCACAATCCGATGCTTTAATAGAGTAGATGCAGACAGAAGGAAAAACAGCTTGGCTCCCATTCTTGTCCCAGCTCTAATCCATTCTTCTCCTCAAGGCCACAATGTGCTTTGAGAGTCTTTTATCCCCAGGACTTGGGTCACTGAGGATGGAAACTGATCCCCCGAAGGGAACTTTGGAGAATCAGGACAGTTGCTGCTGTTGCAACTGAAAACAGGATGTTGGGCAGACATTTATTCTCTGGAAAAGCCAGGGCACAAAGTCACTCCATGAAATTGATGGGTAGCAGATTCAGGACAGAATGAAACAAAGCATTTTTTCATCCAATAAACAAACAATTAAACAAAGCATTTTTCATCCACTTGTGGAATTCGCTACCACAAGAAGTAGAAATGGAGGTTTTGCTGGCTGTCTTTAAAATGGGATTGGGCAAGTATATGGAGAAGTAGAGTATCAGTCTTTCTAAGCTTTGTTTTAAGTGTAGAGCGATCACAGCTGACTTCTAAAAGTAACCTATGATGGCTCTACACTTAGAAAATGCGTAGAAAAGTTACTTTTGGGAATGAGAGGTCCCAGAATTCCAAAATTCTGGGGACTGCTGTTCAAATAGGTAGTGTTTCCATGCTCTGATTTACAGATAGTTCAAGATCGTCTAAGGAGGCCCTGCTCTTGGTCCCACCTTCTTCACAGATTTATTTATTTAGGGCTTTTATATCCCGTCCTATCTCAACCTCTGCAGAGGGACTCAGGACGGCTAACAAATTGGCACCCATGGCGCCCACATCAAAACATGAATATACAATTTAACAATATAATAAAACAGCAATATAAGCAGTATAATCAATATAAAACCATATAAACAATATAAAAGCAGTATAAAAACAGACAACAAACAGTCAGCGATCACCGATTTAAACATTATCCAAGGGCAGTCCATTGGTTCTATATAGGTGAGCACGTTAGCAAGTCAGCCTACTCTCCCAAAGCCTGATCCCATAGCCAGGATTTTACTTATTTCCAGAAGGACAAGAGGGATGCAGCCGATCTAATTTCACTTGGGAGGGATATGCGTTTGGCAGGAACGAAAGACAGGGCCTTCTCAGTGGTGGCCCCTCGGCGGTTGAACACCTTTCCCAGGGATATTAGATCGCCCCCGCCCTCTTAATGTTTTGCAAAGAAGTTAAAACCTGATTTTTCAAGTAATATAACAGGCAGAGACAGACTCACAGAACAACTGGATGATGTTCAATTCAAGAGAGATATTGACAAGCTGGAATGTGTCCAGAGGAGGGCGACTAAAATGATCAAGGTCTGGAGAACAAGCCCTATGAGGTGCGGCTTAGGGAACTGGGCATGTTTAGCCTGAAGAAGAGAAGGCTGAGAGGAGATATGATAGCCATGTATAAATATGTGAGAGGAAGCCACAGGGAGGAGGGAGCAAGCTTGTTTTCTGCTTCCTTGGAGACTAGGACGCGGAACAATGGCTTCAAAATACAAGAGAGGAGATTCCATCTGAACATGAGGAAGAACTTCCTGACTGTGAGAGCCGTTCAGCAGTGGAACTCTCTGCCCCGGAGTGTGGTGGAGGCTCCTTCTTTGGAAGCTTTTAAGCAGAGGCTGGATGGCATCTGTCAGGGGTGATTTGAATGCAATTCCTGCTTCTTGGCAGGGGGTTGGACTGGATGGCCCATGAGGTCTCTTCCAACTCTTTGATTCTATGATTCTATGTGATTGAATAATGATTTAAGTAAGGAGAGGCTGAGGATATATATTTTATTGTTTTTATTGACTTGATATGAATTTATATTTTATATGCTAATGTTTTAAATTGTTTTTATGTTGTTGGGGGCATTGAATGTAAACTACCCTGAGTTGCCTTCGGGCTGAGAAAGGCGGTATATAAATTTGGTAAAGAAATAAATAATAAATCAATAGTTTATTCCTCTATGTTATCTTATCACTAAACGGGTTGGCTTCACACTTTTCCATGTCATCTACCTGGCCACTGTTGGGAAATGGATGCTGGTTCAATGGGTCACTGGTCTGATCTCATATACACTTTAGTATCACTTCCCTTATGGAAATCTGTTTGCGCCTTTAATAAATTCCTGCTTGGGAGACTTTTGGCCATAGCAGTTTCTTCCCTATCGCTACACCACTGTCACAAAAAGAGTACATACCGGTATGTAAGACAAGAAAGTCCTGGCCATGGGTGACAAACATCACTTTGGTCAGATTTTTGCTATGACAGTAAAGCGAAGCAAAAGCCAAGTTCTCTAACATATTTACCCAGCCTTTTCTGGTCCCTCAAGGAGGAGGTCAGGCACTTCCACGCTGATGCACCATGACTTCTGTAATAAGAGACAGTCTGTAAACAAAAGCAGGTGGTTCTGGTTTCTCTGACTGTCATGCAAATTTATACAGCTCTGAATATTGATGCCAGGAATATTCCTGGAGCCTCTGGAACTGATCATTTGTAATTTCCCCAAAGCTATTGGGTTGATTTATAAGATAAAGAAATGCTGTGAAGCCATG